TACAACTATATCCTTTATCATGCCTTGTTATGATAAGCCACTCTACAGTCAGTAAATGTTTTCCTGAGTTCTGTGAGCCACTCCAGAAAAAATCAAATGTAAGAAGGGGTTTGGAAAACTCTGATCTCCAGGCAGTAGGTCAGAAGCAGGGTTGTAACAGGGTGGTCCCCAGGAAAGGGGGAGGTTCCCTGCCCCACCCAAGGGAGGGTGGAGCTGAGCAGGAAGAGGAGAAGCGGCAGAAGAGACTGAGGAAAGAAGGAAGCAGGATGGAGCCAGAAGGAGACCTGGAGGAGGCGCATGGAGCCTAGAGACACGTGAAGAAACTGTGCTTGTCTTTTGGTCGTGGACTGGGTGACACAGATGTGGGTGAGACCCGTGGGGAGGTGACAATGGCAGCTTTTATCTTGATGTTGATTTTGCTCTTTTCCTTCCGGGCTTGTCCGGTTGTTTGTGACCCTTTTCTGTGGGTCCCCCCTGGAAGATGCTTTAGACTTGTGGCAGGCTTTGGGGCCTTGCTCTGGGCCAATCCCATTTGGATGGACTTTTACCCACGAGGGGACGGGTAACTTTGGGTGCTTCATTTAAAAACTAGACTCTTTGCCTTACCTGTATTGTTTCCTAGTTTTATTAAATTTCCTTCCCATTAAAGTCTCCTATGTTTTGTGTTGATGCGGCGGATGGCAGAACCCATTTAGAATAGGCAGGTTTGCGGGGTTTGGGCTGCCCCTCTCCCTGTCCTATAACAGGGTGACTGCCTGGACTTCATTGGCACCTGCAGTGGGGACAGGCTCATGGGACTGAGTCCCTAAACCACATGATACAATCCATTGCTATCTTGGGCCTCCTTGGTGGCACAGGCAGTTGAGCGCCGCACTGTGAAGCTGTCCGCAGCCTCTGCAACATGGGCTTGATCCTGGCTGGCTGGCAAGAATCCCACAAGGCGAAGCAAACCTCTCCTGTCTCGCCTGCTGCTCCCCTCAGCAGTGTGTTTTCTCAGTCTGCCTGTTCTGCTCCCCACTCTGTCTCCAGTGAATCCTCTCACCCTCCTGCGCATCTGCCCTGTACCCCGGTTCTTGTATAAAAATAAATCTTTAAAAAAAACAAAAAACAATCGAATGCTATCTTCAGGCAGACAGTGACAGAATCGAGTTAAATGGTATGGCACCCAGCAGGTGTCACAGAATTTCTTGGTGTGAGAAAAATAAAAGCCCACAAATCTGCTGTCAAAAGTGTGTGAGTGTGGTAGTGGCCTGAGCATGAAGGACACACAGGCTGGACAAGTGAGTGTTTCCTAGACACACATAATAGGAAAATTAAAAGGTGAGGAGGAGACAATGGCATATGTGGTTCCTTGATCAATCTTCCTCATTCTTTACCTGTCCCTGTGTCGACAGACTTTTCCAGGTGAGTTTGAAGTTCTCTCCAGTATAGAAGCGTCCTCCCTGCCCCACAGGTGATGGGGGAACTGATTCAAGGCTGGAGCTAGGACTCATCACAGGTGTCCCCTTCAGGTGACAGGCCCCTTGTCCTAACTAGCACAGCCCTCTGCTGGCCGCCCTGGAGATTGCAGGCAACCCTGCCGCTCGCGGTATTGTAAAAATTGGTTCTTAACGAAACCATTGTTTAGTCTTCATCAGTGTAAAAATTTCTTAAGAACCTACAGAGAGAGAGAGAGAGAGAGAGAGAGAGAGAGAGAGAGAGAGAGAGAGAGAGATATCTCGGTATCATAGAATTTGTGGATGGATGAAGTGGGAAAACTTCTAACAAAATAAGTAGGTAAAGAATATGATGTGGTAGAAGGTGATATGTTTTAAGAGAAAGGAACAGAGGGGTTTCATTTAAAAAAAAAAGCTTTATTGGGGTGTAAGTGACATACAGTTAATTGTTCATATTTGATGCCCTTTTATTAATTGGGTTGTTTATTTTTTAAAGATTTATTTATTTATGCTAAAAGAGCTGTGGTGTAGGACAGAGGTGTGGGGGGTTTTACCAGAGGTATGAGGGGATTTACCAGAGACAGAGCAGGGAGCAGAACAGGTGGATCTACTGAAATACACTGCTGAGGGGAGCAGGGAGCGAGACAGAAGAGGTCTGCTGAGCCATGTGGGTCAGCTCCGTGACCGGGGATTGAATTCCTGTTGCAGTGACTGTCAATAGCTTCATAGTGGTCCTCCCTGGTGGCACAGGCAGTTGAGCACAGTGCTGTGAAGCTATCCGCAGCCTCTGCAGTGTGGGTTTGATCCCTGCCGGCGTCGGAGAAACCTACATGGTGAGCAGACCCCTCCTGTCTCGCCCGCTGCTCCCCTCAGCAGTGTATTTTGGTCATTCTGCCTGTTCTGTTCCCTGCTCTGTCTCTGGTGAATCCTGTCACCCTCCAGCGCATCTGGTCTGTACCCTGGTTCTTGTATAAATAAAATAAATCTTAAAAAAAAAAAAAAAAAGCTTCATAGTGCTGAGACTTAACCCCTTGTGTTACCAGGGATGCTCTGTCTTGTATCTTCTTTTGAGATATGGAAAGTTTTTAACTTGAGGTAACCCCAATTTTTAGTTTTTGTTTTTGGTTTCCTTGTCTTGGGATCAACTCACCAAAGATATCTTTATCATTTAACATATTGCCAATGTTTTTTTCTGTATTTTATTGTTGCAGGTCCTATATCTAAAACTTTTTTTTAAAGATTTATTTATTTATGCATACAAGCGCTGGGGTAAAGGCCAGAGGTGCAGGGGGGTGAGAGGATTCACCAGAGACAGAGTTGGGAACAGAACAGACAGACTGACTGAAACACACTGCTCAGGGGAACAGCGGGGAGATAGCCGGGGAGCTGTGGGTCAGCTCCCTGGCCGGGGATCAAAGTCGTGCTGCAGTGGGTGGAGATATCTTGATAGAGCTGAGACTTTAACCACAGTGCCACTGGGGAAGCTCACTTTTGAATTTTTTGCTAATATAAATCAGCTATTATGGGCATTCTTGTCTATGTCTCTGCTGGATGTCTTTAAAAGACACCTTTAGACAATTTTCCAGTGTGATTGTGTAGTTCATTCCTACCTGAAGTGTAAGAAAAGAGCTTCAGGTGCTCTACATCTTTGCAACACTTGAAATTGCCAGTCTTTCTAATTTTACCCATTCTCTTTGCATGGCAGAGGTATCTCATTTTTTTTTTTAAGATTTATTTTATTTATTTATACAAGCACTGGGTACAGTCAGAAGCACGGGAGGGTAAGAGAATTCACCAGAGCCAGAGCGGGGAGCAGAGCAGGCAGAAGGACCGAAGTACACTGCTGAGGGGAGCAGCGGGCGGCAGGAGAGGTCTGCGCGCCATGTGGGACCCTCCTCTGGTGGCCGGGGAGCAGCCGGGGAGCAGCCGGGGATCGAACCGGCGCTGCAGAGGTAGCGGGCAGCTTCGCAACCCAGCGTTCAACCGCTGCGCCACCGGGGAGGCCCTCTCATTGTTTTAAGTTTGCATTTCCGTGGGCCTCCTTGATGGCACAAGGGGTTAAGACACAACCTATGAAGCTATTCACAGCCACTGCAGCATGAGTTCGATCCCCGGGCCGGGAGCTACCCACATGGCACAGCAGACCTCTCCTGATTTGCCCACTGCTCCCCTCAGCAGTGTATTTCGGTCAATTCGCCTGTTTTTTTTTTTTTTAAAGATTTATTTATTTATTTATGCATACAAGAGCTGGGGTACAGGCCAGAGATGGGGGGCGGGGGTGAGAGGATTCACCAGAGACAAAGTGAGTAACAGAACAGGCTGCTTGACAGAGTACACTGCTGAGGAGAGCAGTGGGCGAGACAGGAGAGATCTGCTTCGCCATGTGGGTTTCTCGCTGGCTGGGATGGAATTCGTGTGCTGCAGAGGCTGCGGAATGCATCATAGGGCGGTGCTTAACCCCTTGCACCACCATAGAGGCCCCAATCCGCCTGTTCTTTACCCTGCTCTGTCTCTGGTGAATCCTCTCATCACCACCCCCCCACGACACTGGCCTGTGCCCCAATTCTTGAATGCATAAATAAATAAATCTTTTAAAAAATAAAAATAAATTTGCATTTCCCTAATGACTAATAAGACAAAACACTTTTTCTGTATACTCCCTGGCCATTTGGATGTCTTCCTTTGCAAAATACAATACATGTTCATCTTTTTCCATGTTTTAACTAGGTCGTCTTTATGTTTGTCATTTGCAGGGATATTTGTTTCCTACTTAACTATCAATCCTTTGTCAGATGTATATATTGCAAATATCTTAGTTTATATGTTGCTTTTCTACCCTTTTAGGGTGTATCCCGGATGGCAAGCGCATTTCACTCTGCGCATTTCATCAGCGCATTTCACTCTGTCGTGTGTCCAGCGCCCACACCGTGCCTGGCACATAGTAGATCTTCAACATACGGTTGTTGAATGAATGACTGCAGGAGAGTCAGTTTCTTCAGGTGGATATATTAATCCCTGTCCATATTATAGGATTCCGTAAGACGTGGAGGATAAACAGGATGTTTACCGCAAAATCTGCTTTAGAGGTTTTCATGAAGGACCAAGCTTTTAGATATAAAATAGGCGGAGCTGGTTTCTTTCCCCCAGGAACTTGAGCGAGAAGTTCCACGTGGGCGCCCCGCCCACAGAGGCCCCGCCCACATCTGTCATCTCGCCGGAGGCGGGGCTGGGAGGCGGGGATTCTGGGGCGTGGCTAGAACCCGGAACGAGGAAATGGGTGGAGCTCTGGATGCCACGGACCAATGAGCAGGCAGAGCCCCGCGCCGGAGCCGTAGCGGCAGAAAGAGAGCAGAGGGCGTTGTCCGCGTTTCTATTGGGCCATCCGACGTCGTCAGGGAAACGTGGTGTCCCGGAGGTGGTGGGGCGGGGCTTCGCAGGAGGCGGGGCTTCCGGGGACTGGCCTGCCGGACCGCGGCGCCACCGTCAGCTGACCCGCCGCCATCTTGTCCGCCATTTGCGAGCGGAACGGCACGGCGCGGCGCGAGCGGGACCGGGAGCTGGAGCGGGAGCGGAGCGGGGCCTCCGAGCAGGTCGCTGCTGCCGCCGGCGCCCGCAGACCCGCCACCGATCTGGCCTGGGCGCCTCCTCTCCCGCGGCGGCCGAACAGCGCAGCGCTCCCCGGGCTGCAGGCTCGGCTCTTGGGCCCCCGCACGGCGCCGGGCCGCGGGCCTCCCGGGGCTCCAGCCCGGCCGCAGCCGCCGCGATGGCCCTCAAGATGGTCAAGGGCAGCATCGACCGCATGTTCGACAAGAACTTGCAGGACCTGGTGCGCGGCATCCGCAACCACAAGGAGGACGAGGTGAACCCGGCGCGCCGTCCGGGTCCGGCCTGGCCCCGGTCCCCGACCCATGACCCGGCCCGTGAACCCAGCCTCCAGCCCCGGAGGCCCGGCTCCCGCCTTGCGCCCTGCCTGCCCGCGGCCTGGGGCGTCGCACACTCCCCACCTCCCCAAGACTGAGTTTAAGCCCGGTGGCCGACGGCGCCCCGGGATAAAACCCCAAAGGCCCGGAGCTGCGGTTCTCTGCCCCTCCCCCTAGCGTGGATCGGGTTGCCGGGGGGTGGGGGGCGCCCGCTGTTAACAATGCATCCTCCCAGGTGTCCCGCTCGGTGGCCCCCCTCCTGGAGTCTCAGTTTATCCTCTTGGTTTTGGGAGCCGCCTCCCCCACCCTGTGGGTGGTGCCAGAAGAGACTTTGCAGAACCCCTTCTCCAAGAGGCAACACTGAGTGTGTTTCTGGATCATCTATTCCAGATTCGGGGGGTCCCAGACCCCGCTCCAGGCATCTGAGTGGACTCCTGGTTAGGGACCCCATGTCGCCCAGGAGAAATCCCCTAAGGATAAGTGCGCGTCCAGGTTGCTCCCGGGTGCCTGGGCCACAAAGGACCTGCCCTCCTGGGCCAATTCCCTCAGGAAAGAGGGGCTGCCCTGGAGGTGGGTCCTGGAACGTGCAAGCCAGACTTCAACTAGAAACGCTAAAGCTTAAGCTCGGGGAGGGTCTTCTGGAAGTAAAACTAATGGTGGGCACTTCCTTCCCACCCCCAACCTGTGATTAAGAGTTAGAACGGGGAGTTAGTGGGTCCAAGTCCCCGGCTTCATACATACACTTGCGCAGTGGAAGCAGTAGGTACCCAGTCACCTGCAGGAGAGCACCTGCGTCGGCAGCTGGTCCAAACCAGATGCTGCCACCCCCTCAGTGGTGCTGGTCAGTTAGCCCAGAATCCAGAGTTCAGGACTTTGCAGGGAGGAGACCCTCAGCCAGCGTCTCTCTGAGGGAACCTGAGTTCTTGCCACTGGGTCGCACTTTTTCAGAATGGGCCTGACTTTGCTGAAATGTAATTAGGTTATTTTTGTTAATTTCCATCACCCTTCCCTTCTCTGGCTACAGTGCATTTTTCTCCCTAGCGGGCAGGCGTGGTTATAATGTGTAGCTAGCTCAAGTCCAGATCTTCAGCTTTTTGAGCTGAAAGAGTGTCTGGTTGGCCCAGATTTAGATTTTATTGATGGATTTGGATTTTATTTACATGGCTAAGCAAATTTGAAATATGCTTACACCCCCGTAGTTCTTTGTACTGACTGATTTCATTTCCCCCTCCATTTCGTGGGTATCACTGAGCAGCTGACTCTAGGATTTCTGAGGCTGAACTACCCAGAGGAGAAACAGACTCCAGTTTGAGTGCCTGGTTTTTAGGGTGCATCACTGGGCAGTCCCAATGAACTCGGGTTTCTTCATCAAGGGATGCCTTCCCTATGGGCTTGGGGCCCCTTGAATGGGTACACTGGAGGTGGGAGAGGCCTCCAGTGGCTCAGGTTTCCTCCAGACAATGCCCAGTTTGTCAGTGTCCGCATCAGAAGGGTCTTTACTCAAGTATCACCTCTGCCAGGAGGTCTCCTTGTGGGAGTGCAGCTGAGAGCCTCCTGGTCCACACTCTTTTTAAAATAAGACTGATGTGCTGCTGCGCCCCCCACCCCAGCAGAGACGGCTGACAGTGCTTTCCTGCACAGTATGTGCACGCTGCTATGGTGTTGTTGCTCCCTCACGTTTACATTTTATAATAAATTTTAGCTTGAAACTTCGGCGCAGCCACTTGGAAGTGAGACTTAGCAATGACTTTTTCTTTTAAGTTCGTTTATTTTCATACATTGTTGTTTATGTATTTATTTTTTTAACAATATTTGATTCCTCCCCCAGGTGTAGTCCCCATAGTTCTCCCACCACCACAGCACCCGTGATCCATCCCCACAGTCCCTTGTGCTCTTCCCTCCCCTGTTTTGACCCCTTTCCTTCCCCCTCCCTGGCTGGATGCCTTAGATCTATGGTCAGCTTGCCAGTTTTGTCTTTTAACTGACGCTTTGTACAGTGTCCCTCTATTCCCTTATAGGTGAGACCATCCAATATTCTCTTTCTTCGTTTGACTTATTAGCATGATCCCTTCCAGCTCCATTCACATTGTGGCCAATGGCATGAGTTTATCTTTTTTGATCTCTGACTAGTATTCCATTGTGTACGTAGACTGCATCTTCTTGATCCAGTCACCTGTTTGGGGGGCAGTTGGGCTGTTTCCATGTCTTGGCTGCTGTAAGTAGTGCTGCAGTGAACATGGGCATTCAGGTTTCCTTTCGAGTTAGTGCTTTTGTGTTCTCTGGGTACCCTCCCAAGAGTGGATAGAACTGCTGGATCCTAAAGTAGTTCCATTTTTAGTGTTTAGAGGAACCTCCACACAGCTTCCCATGGTGCCTGGACTAGTTTACATTTCCATCACCAGTGGAGGGGCTTCCTGTTTCTCCACATCCTCCCCACCATTTGTTGTTGCCAGTTTTTTTAATGTGGGCCATTCTCAGGGGCGTGAGGTAGACTCTCATTGTGGTTTCCATTTGGCATTTCCTTCATAATAAGTGATGATGAGCATTTTTTCATAATAGCAATAACTTTTTTTTTTTTTAAAGATTTGTTTATACAAGAACCCAGGTACAGACCAGATGCGTGGGAGGGTGAGAGGATTCACCAGAGACAGAGTGGGGAACAGAACAGGCAGACTGACGAAATACACTGCTGAGGTGAGCAGTGGGCATGACAGGAGAGGTCTGCTGCACCATGTGGGTCCCTCGCTGGCCGGCTGGGATCGAAACAGCACTGCAGAGGCTGCAGACAGCCTCACAGCACTGCGCTCAGCCGCCTGCGCCACCAGGGGAGGCCCAATAGCAATAACTTTTAAAGTGGGTAGAAAGGCAGCACTATGTAGTGAAGTCATGTTGTGTGAGGACTGGAGACCTTAGTCCAAGTTTTGGGGCTGTTTAGCTGGATGACCTGGGAAAGCTCCCTGTTGTGAGGTGGGGTGCAGATGCCTTGATCGTCTGCCTCGCCCTTTCAAAACTGCTGCCTGTGACCCCTTAGTGGGTTGTGCATTCAGTTCCGTGGATTATGTTAAAAAGAAACTGGGATTTCCAGTCTGCGTGAAGGTCCTGGAACTGTCATTTCTTGAAACTGTTATCTTGGGGGGTCTGTGGCTAACTGCGTGTGCGTATTGTATTGTATTGTATTGTATTGTTAATGTGGAGAGTATATTTCTTAAAATGAGTCAAAAGTTTGACAGTGGTCTAGCTCATACATGAATGTCTGTTAATCCTAAGATACAGCGAGGATGATATCAGCAGGAAGGTGGCAATACACTTGGTGGTGGCCTTGCTTCAAAACCTCGGATATGACAGAGAAAAAATCCAGTGACTTAACATCTTATTCTCACAGACACGACACTTTGCATATTTTGAAGGATGTGTTTTCTCTTAATCTTTTTAAATTGTGAAACTATACCCATACCTTTGTGACATTACTGTTGCCGTCCGTGCATGCAGGGGACGCAGGTGATTCTGTGCGCCACTGTGTCACCGCGTGTGGCGGTCTCCCCAGCCACTGTCAACGAGACATACCCCCACAGTGTTTTGCAGCCTCCTGAGTGTGGTTGATTTAGCCACTCTCCTCAGATGGGTATATAAGTGGCCTCTGGTGTTTTGCTGTTTTATGCCTCAGTTTACTCTGTTGGGCCCAAGCACTGTGCAAATCTGTTCTCATAAGCAGCTTGAGTCACAGAGACGAACATCGTGTCAGCGGCTGCCTGGTGCTATGTCAGTGACAGGTCTTCTCGCTTTGGTTTTTACTCAATTTTCACCTTGCTCCTGAAAGCTGCCCCTACGGCCACCTCCACCTTGTGCTTCCAGGGCTGCCGGGGTCCTTCCTGTGCCCCTGGGTAGCACCTGATTTAGTGTTTCCAGCCATCAGCCTTGAGGGCATAATTGCCCAGGATTTGCTGCAGGATCCATAATCCATCGCCCTGTCCTCTGGAGGTCATGCTACTCTCCCAGCAGTGAGTTAGCATAGAGACCCCTGGGTGGGGGGCTTTAGCCTGGCTAAACGTGTTATTCCCGGCCATTTCCCTGGCCAGTCTTGCATCACCAGCTCCTCTTTCGGGAGCAGTTCCCAGCAACATCCAGCCTTGTTAAGCCCATTCTGTTGGGCAGGGGTCGGGGCTGGATTGAGCTGCACAGCCCGTGCTTGCTGGCCAGCTCCCTGTTACATACATACCTCTGCCTCCAAAGCCTAGACTGCACCAGGGCCTCCCCTGAGGACATGCCTGCTTCTGCTCCCTGGGGCACGCACTGCCTGCTCTTCAGGGCCCTGGGGTAGGACTGGCATTTTTTTTTTTTAAAGATGTCGAATCTTTTTTTTTTTTTTTTTAAAGATTTATTTATTTATGCATGTAAGAACCAGGGTACAGGCCAGATGCACGGAAGGGTGAGAGGATTCACCAGAGACAGAGCAGGGAACAGAACAGGCAGATCTACTGAAATACACTGCTGAGGGGAGCAGCGGGGAGACAGGCGAGGTCTGCCGCACCATGTGGGCATCTGTAGCTGGCCGGGATCGAACCCGCGCTGTAGAGGCTATGGACAGCTTCATAGCGCTGTGCTCAGCCACCTGCATGGACGGGCATTCTTGACTCATTTGGCCCTCTAGTTAGCTGCCCATCCTCTGAGGATGCCAGTCCTCCTTCCTCGCCTCCCTTGGTCTTTCTGTTGTGAGCTGGAAGGACGTGGCCTCCTGCCTTTCAGTTGTGCTCCCCTGAAGTCCTGGGTGATCTGGCAGCTGAATTATGTCCCCTAGGGATAACCCCATCCTGGTCCTGGAACTTGGGGACATGGTGCCTCACTTGGTAAAGGTGTGCAGAGGGAGAGGTCTGGGGGATCCTGGATTCCCAGGTCCTCATGAGGGGGGAGGAGGAGGTTCAGAATCAGAGCCAGGGAGAGG